AAGCATAAAATGGGGGCTTCATTCTGATAAGGGATCTCAGTTCTTTCATTCAGTTATGAAAAACAAGAGACACCAAAACAGAATTTTATCAATTTATGCTGATGATGGCTCCAGAATCTCTGATTTATCTGAAATTACTACTGAGCTCATTGATTTCTATAAGAAGTTGATGGGTACTGCTAAAGTTAATACAATTGCTGATCCTAGCATAATTTCAAATGGCCCCATTCTAACCTCTGAGCAGAAGCATGACCTGAGTTCCCCTGTCTCTAGGGAAGAGATCAAACAAGCTCTTTTTTCGATGCCTGATAATAAGGCTCCTGGTCCTGATGGATTCAATGCCTTCTTTTACAAAGCTGCATGGTCTGTAATCAAGGAGGATCTTTATCTTGCAGTTGAGGAGTTTTTCCACTCAGGTACACTCTTGGGTTCTCTTAATGCTACATCTATTACCCTTGTGCCTAAAGTCCTTAATCCTATCTCGGCCACTGATTTTCGCCCTATAGCCTGTTGCAATGTTATCTACAAAATCATATCTAAAGTCATTGCCACCAGGGTTAAGAAATTTATGGGTTATCTTGTCAATGATGCACAGTGTGCTTTTGTAAGTGGGAGACTTATTTCAAGTAATTTTTTGCTTGCACATGAGTTATTCAAGCACTATGGGAGGAAAAATAATTCCCCAAGAGCTATTTTAAATGTTGATCTGAGGAAGGCTTTTGACACTATTGGTTGGGATTTTATAAGGAGTATGTTGATTGGTTTGAACTTTCCCAACAATATGGTTTGCTGGATCATGGAATGCATATCTACTCCAAAATTTTCTTTAGCTTTGAATGGTGGTCTACATGGTTATTTTCATGGTGCAAGAGGCTTGAGGCAAGGGTTTTCTTTAGCTTTGAATGGTGGTCTACATGGTTATTTTCATGGTGCAAGAGGCTTGAGGCAAGGGGATCCTCTCTCCCCCTATCTGTTTGTTATAGGGATGGAATATCTTTCCAGGAAACTCAACACTCTAAAGGATGATTCATCTTTTAAATATCATCCAAAGTGCTCTAGGTTGAAGACTAACCATCTGATTTTTGCTGATGATTTGTTGCTGTTGTGCAAGGCTGACATGAGTTCTATTGCTAAAATCTTCACTTATCTTCAAGAATTTGGACATGTTTCTGGACTGGAAGCCAACTCCAGCAAATGCTCTGTATACCTGAGTGGTGTATCTGATTATCTCAAAGCTCAGATATGCAACCATCTCAAATTCCCTGAAGGAGTTCTGCCTATGAAATACCTGGGCCTACCTCTGACTGCTAAAAGACTCTCATACACTGATTGTTCTAGTCTTATTGGTAAAATTTACAATCAGTTCCAAACCTGGCAACAAAATAAATGCTTGTCCTATGCTGGAAGACTTGAACTGATTAAGTCTGTTATTTTGGGCATTCAAACATATTGGCTAAGCAATTACATCCTCCCAATTAAAGCTTTGGAAAAGATTGATAGTTTGTGTTCTGCCTTTCTATGGGGGCACAAATTTCACTTAGTAAACTGGGGTTCGGTTTGTCAAGGCAAAGAATATGGGGGTCTGGGCATTTTCTCAGCTAAGTACTAGAACTATGCAGCTGCCACTAAGCTTTTGTGGTTGATTCATCTTAAAAAGGATCTCCTATGGATCAAGTGGGTACATGGAAACTATCTTCAAAATCAAAATATTTGGACTGTTCAGCCCAAGACAAATGACTCATGGATGTGGAGGCAACTCCTTAAAATGAGGGATATGCTCGTGAGTAAGTTTGGGAATGCTGTTACGGCTAAAATAGCAGATTGTTGCTCTGATGGCAAGCTTCTATTATCTGCAGTTTACAGTGCTCTTATACAACCTACTAATACAATTGCTTGGGCTAAGACAGTTTGGGATGGCTTTCTATACCCTAAGCACTCCTTTGTGTTTTGGCTAGCTTGTCACTCTAGACTTCTTACCAAGGATAGACTGTGCAGAATGAACATCTTGAGCACAAATCAACTTCACTGTGTGCTGTGTGACAGTCACCAGTTAGAGGCTAGAGATCATATCTTTTTTGAATGTCAATATTCAGCGGAAGTATGGAACTTGGTGATGAGCTGGTTGGGATATAAATGGAGGTCATGTACATAGGACTTGTTACTGCACTGGTACTCTCACAAATTGAAAGGAAAAAGTCCTATGAAGAAGCTGAAAAGGATGTGCTTATCTGCTGCTGTATACATGATTTGGAGGGAGAGAAATCTAAGAATTTTTCAAGACAAGAGGAGGCTACCTGCTCAAGTTTTCAGAGATATCAAGCTTTCGATTTTTTGTAAAATTCTAAATGATAGTTCACATGTACATATGAAAGAACTACTTGAAAGTTTGTAATTTTTTCTTTTGTTCTCCAGGCTTCTGGAGCTTTGTTTGACCTTATATGTTCAAATTTGGGAGATGAATAAAATTCACAGTTCATTGACCAAAAAAAAAAGTTATGGCAAATATATTAGTTTGAAGTTGAGAAAAGAATTTTGATAAAGGGAACAGTGTAATTTACTTAAAATTTGTTCTTCAAGTCAACTGCCATAAATCCCAATTGCTATCATGTTTCAGAACTATAGATTTTTTGGTCACAACTATTCTAAGTGTCTGCAGAATTAGGATGTAAATGTGACAAGTTAGATTTTTTTATTTTAATATTTTGAGTTCTCTTTGAGCAGACTTATTTTTCAAATTTTTTATTGTTTATAGATGCTTATATGAGTAAATTTCGCAACTCCAAGGTGGAATCTTCAAAGCCATTTGAATCAGTCACCATGGAAGATGAAAAGTCGTTTAATTTTGTGCGGATACTATTTGGTATGTGGGGGCATTGTTTCTTGTTGGCTTTGAACTAAAACATACTTTTTTTAAAGTTAGACTACAAAATATTTCTAATTGCAGTTATGTAAGTAAAGTTGGTTATCATTCTTAACCTTCTGTAAACTGTCAGGATACATAAAGCATAGATCTTTTAAATCGAGATGAGCAAAAAACACACACACACACACACACACACACACAAATAATAAGAGGTAAGAAGGGAGGAGTGAGGCTTTTGAGGACTTTGTCCAGAGGAAAGTGGAAGAGGTGTAAGTTAAGTTCCATTTGTTGGTGAAGTAAAACGGGTTGTAAATTTTTGGGTTCTGGGGTCTAAATTTAATATCATGACAGTGATATTGTTTATTTTTTATTTTCATTTAATTGTTAACTTCTTGTTAGGCTTAATTAAATTTTTCTTTGCTTCTTTTAGATGGTATTATAGCAGGAGTCACTCCTGGTGTTGTTGTTGAATCAGTCCTATATCCTATATATATGATAAAGACTCGGCTTCAGGCAGGTTATTCTTGCTAAAAGTACTTATGCCTGCATATGTAAACTATGAACGCTCTAGGTTAGGTATTCAATACTGTTGTTACTAGAATTTTCTTAAGGCTAGATCCTCAAAGCTTGTATGTGAGTAATTATGTGATGTGCTGACTATCACAATCTTCTCATCAGTTCGAGCACTTAGGTCTGAATTTAAAGTTTACGTGTGCATTTAGTATTATTAATACTTGTATGCTCAGGACTTTGCCTCGTGATTGTAATGTCTATCATTATGTGCAATGATTGTAACTATGCCTTCATGTTCTCAATTTGTGCTCTGGAATTTTTTGATTGTTTAAGTTAAGGAATCCAATATTTATGTTCTTGTGAGAGCAGTTGGTCACTTTCTATGAACCATTCATTTCATTCACTACCACATATTTGCTCTAACGCAACGGTTCAAAACCGTTGCGCTAGCCATGGAACCGTCGCCCTTGAGCAAGTGCGACGGTTCTCAAACCGCCTCATATGCTGCCGTTGCCCTACCTCTACCGTAACGGTTTTGAACTCTATTGCGACGGTTTTTTGAACCGTTGCCCCTGCATCTAACGCAACGGTTTTAAAAGGTAAGTGGTTTTTAAGCCATTGCAACGGTTTTGATTGAGCTATTGCGACGGTTTTTAAGCTATTGCAGCGGTTTTGATTGAGCTATTGCGACGGTTTTCAAGCTACTGCAACGGTTTTTTTAGATATTACAACAGTTTTAAAAGACCTAACGCAACGGTTTTAGTAGGCTAAAACTATGGTTTTGATAGAGCTACGGCAACAGTTGGAGCTATTGCAACAGTTTTAAAATACCTAACGCAACGGTTTTAGTAGGCTATAAGTATGGTTTTAATAAAGCTACAGGGACAGTTGGAGCTATTGCAACAGTTTTAAAAGACCTAACGCAACAGTTTGGATTGAGCTATCGCAACAGTTTGGATCGAGCTATCGCAGCGGTTTTGATCGAGCTATCGCAACGGTTTTAATCGAGCTATTGCAACTGCTCAATCGAAGCTGTTCTTGGTTTCCTACACCAAAATAATTATAGTATTCAATTACCTGGACAATCTTTTTAAGAACATGGCCAAGTCAAATTTTAATACACAATATAAAAGTGATTATGTTGAGCATAATCAACCATAATGATAAGTGCCAACATACATCAGTATAGTATAAAAACTACAAAGTATTAAATCCACACTACCAACATTTCAACTCAGAAAATATCGTACCGAACTAACATTCAAACAATGTACATCAACATTTGATTACAAAACATGAAACTTCTCGGTCAAAGACTATATTCTCTATTTGTTTCCAAAAACTTGTTCCTCAATGTCAAATACTCACTAGGAACCTGTCAGTATCAATCTCAATCTTGGCTTTCATCATTTCTGTACCTGTGTAAATTTCCATGAATCAGCATAATTTTTGCAATGATGATAATAAAATTGGGGAAAAAAGATGTTTGAAAAGGAAGTTAAGAGAACAATGTACATCATGCTTGTTTGTTGCCACAACCAAATCCAACCATTTTAACAAAAAAGGCTAAAGTTATCAAGAGCATCTAATCACAGCCATATTCGTCACCCTTATCCATAATCCCAAAAAATCCCTTGACATTTTGTTAAGTGATTCTTTGCATTAAATAGTATATAATGTAAAGGAGAGTAGGGATTGTTTCTACAAGAATTTGGGTGATCCGCACGCACTGACATGGCAGGCTCAATTTCAGCAGTCCAAGCAGCAGAATTTGGACTGAGCCAATCCAAGTGTGCAACCATATGTTTTCAAGGACTACAGTGATTCTACTGGTTTGTACAGAATAAACTGCGCATGAAGGGACCAAAATAAAGTGCATAGCTTTTGCTGCAGCAAATCAGAGAGGTAATTCCAAATGAAAAGCTTAAACATTGATTTGCACTATGGAATTTAATATCTCAAGGGATAAAATCATGTTTTCATCAACATGAAGGTCAAAATCAACTTCAATAGGCAACAACTTCTGAAACTATATGATGCACAGATGCATCCAAGATGTTCCCATCTGTACGGGTCAACATGTGTGCATTGGTTCTTTCACTAGTTTAATAAGAAAAATTACATAGCAACTAAGCTTGTCCAACTATTTACAGCTAGTTATGAATTTTGCTCAATAATAGAGCAATCATGTATTATTTCAGTTTATAATACATGATGAAAGTACACTAAACAACAAAACATGCAGATGATTGTCCCTGAACTTCTTTCCTAGAACTCAGAAGAATGATCCTAATCTCAGAATCTTGAGCTCCACACCAAAGTCTCCTTTACAGGTCCATATCTAAGTTAACAATGTTCCGCATTTATATGTCAATTGAACCTTCCGACTTATCAGCCCCATGCTGGTCACAAGTGAACTCTTATGTTTCAGGAATAAAGATGGATTTCTGAATATAATCAATAAAATATGCCACATGTCAATTTCTTATATGAACCCTTTCTTGGCTCAAGAACATAAGATTATACTGATATTAGGCATGACTTATAAAAAGTGATATATAACATTATCTTCTTTGTGATGATAAGGATTATATATAGCATACAAGTTGTCTGCAACTCATTTAATTGGGGAACATGACTCAGATACACATCATAACAAATTATCAATTTTTTTGGGACAAAACTTGAGAAATAAAAGTGATATATAACATGCAATAACTAAGCGGGTCATTGAAAAGATTTCATATACATCATCACAGATTTCCCGGCTAATTTATATGCTAGTCAATAACTTTAAAAATCACTAAATTTAACTGGAAAAATCAATTTGAACTCAGAAAGCGGTAGTGGGAATTGAGAAATCAAAATATCGTGAGAAGAGATAGGTGGAGCAAACCCTAGAAAGCTCCCGTTAGCGAGATATGGGCTCAATTTCTGGAGCAACGAGAGTAGCTCGACGATGAAACGAACAAGATGAAAACGGCGACGAAAGTAAATGGACTCCAGCGAGGACTGAAGACGGCGACGAGACCAACGAGAGTAGGTCGACGACGAGAATGACAACAAGCTCGAAGATGATATCGGAGAGGAGATTGGAGATGAGATCCAATATGAAAACAACGACGAATTCAGTGATGAGATCGCCGATTATATGAAGATCTTGGCCACGGCGATTTTAGGGAGCGGAATTTTTTGGCTCACACTAGTACAAAGCAGGGCTGCCCCAACGGTTGAAACCGTTGGGGCAAATCATGACCCCAACAGTTAGAACCGTTGGGGCTGAAAAAAGGACCGTTGGGACAAATTGCGTTGGGGCTGAGTCAGCCCCAACGGTTGCCAAGTTTGCCCCAACGGTTCCAACCGTTGGGGCAGTTAGGCAAATCAAATAAAAAAAAAGATACCAACCATTGGAGCTGAGCACCTTTGTACTGGGGCTCCTTGACAGGCATAGCAATAATAACCCATTGTCAGGCTAATATAGTTGGTGTTAGGCCAAGCCTTTACATCTTAGCAGATACAGGTAAATGTAAATCAACGATTGTCCTGACTTAGAACGCCGTGGTCCTAGTGAATATATTGTAAATAATACAAACTATGAAGATTTTCTTTAGAAGGTTTAAATGCATACCAGTCGTGCTGAAATAAATCCCATGTCAATGATGAGAGAGACATAATTTGGACCACTTGTGGGAACAACATTAATAACCCAAACAGATTTTCCTGCATTTAACAATGCAGCATAGAACCCGCCTAATCGAGCATTCATGTCAAGCACATTTCTGAGCATGTTAAAAGGTGGAGAGGGATCCTCATCACCAGGCCTCTTTGGATGATCCGAGAAAATCAGAGGTGAAAGAAGAGACCAATAGTTACGAATAGCAGAGTTCCAATTTAATGCGTCCTCGGCTAAGTCCTTTGAGTGCAAATTTGATGAACGAAAAATAAAATTGTCAATCGGTGTAAAAAGAAATTATAGTTTAAACTATGATCATTTCAAATTACCATGAATTGCAAGTTCAGTTGAGTTTGGATTAACCTAAGAAAAGTCTGTCCACTTGGACCAAGAAAATATCATCTGCATCAGTCAGTTCAAATGTTATTTATTCAACTTCATAATGCAAGATCCAAGATAAGCATTTCCCAACAAAAAAATATGCTGGATCCACTGTTACATAAGAATTGTTAGTATCTTAATGAGCATGTCATGATCAAAGCAAATGATTTAGTATCCAATTCAGTGAGGCATATTCACATTATAAGCCTACTTCATTGAATCTAAACATTTGTCTTAAGCTGATGTAATCTCTCTTATTGACCAATATGGGATATGTTAATGGTGATATTTTTAATGCATAACTTACCAATTCACATGTAGGTCCAACTATGCCTATAAAGCAATCAAGCCCTATTTACATGCAAGCATACATATCATATCGAGTCAGTTCTATACATGAGCCTCTGCTACTAATTTTTATGTAGACAGACACATTTATTTTTCTATTTTGATAACATAAGTAAAAGTTACATGCACAAATCAACTAGTAGAATGATTGATCAGTAGTTTTGCATTCAACTGAACCAGAAACGAAGTCAATCATCTAGAATTTACCACAAAGTCTGAATAAGAAATAAAGTATAAGAGAAAAAACATACCATTCTTCTCCTAGTCGATTCCACATCTTGCGATGCACATTGTTAGAAGCTGTTTTGAGAAAAGATGCGCTCCTAAGCTGCCGAAGCCACACCCAATATCTAACACAGTTATGGACTTATCTATTATATATGCTAATATATACAGGTGTATGCTAATATATACCTCTGAGATCAGAACAGAATTCTTGATACCACAAAGATTAGTTGCATAATGAAGTCCCCAATCTATGCGGTTAGCCACCTGTTCACTCAAGATGGAAGTGCAAGCTAAAACAAGAGCCATGTTAATTTAGATAGAACCCAACAGTATGCACTAGTTCAACTCCAATCTACAATTAATGTACACAACACTGACGCTTATCTTCCCAGTCCCAACCAATGCACACTGTTGGGTTTTCTTAGCTCAATTAATTTAGATATCTAGACTAGTGATCTCTTGTAGACATTTATATAGAAGCCTGGCAAATGTCACTAAGAAGTCTGCAAATATTTAAGACGTACATGAGGATTTAGGTATGAATTTAATCACAATTTCCATAAATGTGAAACGTGCCTAGTGCATCAAATATTCATTGTGTATGAAATTTTCACTAGGCTTCTATGGTGAATTTGGTGTCTATGAAGGTTAGTCTCATGCATTCAAGAAAATAAGTCATCAATGGGTCATAAGAAAGTGGATAAATCAAATTTAACACAAGCAGTCCAATTTCAATGATACTAATGGTGCATCATTTAGCTTACTAGTCACACATGAGATTAAGATCATATGAGCTACTAGAATTTTTTTTTACAACGTAGATTACATGTGCATATTAGTCAATAAGAGGCAATGATGCATGCCTCACTTACAGATGAAACCATTGACCTCGTCCAAAAAAAACTGGGGACAAATCATGATATGACCACTCACTTCATATGTTTGTCCAAACGGACAGTTCGAACACTTAAACCATAAAAAATGTTGAGGTCTAATTCACGTCAAAAGATTAATATCCTGAATTTAGCAACACACCGACACAGATGGCAAATGTGGTCCTCAAGGTGATGTATTATTCACCTGTTAATACTTAATAAGCTTGACCTTGTTGGTGATTTGATTCTAAGCCTGGCTAACAAAGATGTGATCTGAAGGGATATTAGTTTTATTTATTTCTCATACCAACTGGTATAAGCAAGGAATTAAATCGTCCGCAGCTTAAATAGCAAACAGTTTAGATAAGCTCATAAAGAATTATGAGACTTGACAACTAAAGCTTCTTTAATGGTTCAACAAATTTTGACACTGTTTTAATAAGCATTCAATTAGCATTCAATAAACCATAACTCTTAATAAACTACATGCCATCTATCTGAAGCTTGAAGTCATCACTTTGAATTCATCAGCACCCTTCATATATCTAGTACAGATTTAAGTGCAAGAGACCAAACCACTTGAAAAGATAAAAGAAGTTATCAATCAGCAATCATGTAAATTTCAATGTAGAGGACAAAAGGCAGGAAATAGCAATCAGAAAATAAATTCAGCTGTATGGTAAAAGAATGTAAAGCTAAAATAAGATCAGGTATAGGGTAAAAAATGTGAAGCTATCTCTATTAACATACCTATTACTATTTAAAGAGAAAGGCAAGAAATAGACATGTACCTTTCAATGTAGAGGACAAAAGGCAGTAGCGACGAAGGAGGAGGAGGAGGAGGAGGTAGAGGAGCTCAAATCTACAAATGAAGGAGGCGGAGCTCGAATCAGAGGAGGAGCTCGAATTAGGGATTTTAGGGGAGGAGGAGGCGGCGATAACTCCGACGACGGCAACGATGAGAGGAGGGCGGCGCTTGTTTTGGCGAGAGAGAGGGAAGGAGGGAGGGCGGCGCTGGTTTTGGCGACGAGAAAGGGAGGGAGGCGGAGAGTGAGCTCTGACGATGACGATGAGAGGAGGGCGGCGGCGATGGATTTGGCGAGAGAGAGTGAGGGAGGGAGGGAATTAGAGAGAGATCGGAAATTTTTGGGAGCGGAATTTTTTGGCTCAGCGGCGATTTTAGGGATTTGAGAGAGAGACAGATTTCCTTTGAGCGGTGCGGTCAAACCATGGGCTTTACTAAAGCTCTCCAAAGGCCACTAACAATTATTAAGCCCACAAACAATTATTAGACCTATGACAACATTTTATATTAAATGTTGTATTAGACCCTGAAAACCGTTACGATAGATATCTAACGCAACAGTTAAAACCGTTGCGCCTTAACCGTTGCAATAGATCAATTATGTGGTAGTGATTTCAGGCTGCTCGTGCTGGGAGAAAAATCCAATGGAAGGACTTGTATTCAGAGTTGGCTAGAAATCTTGCTGGGGTCTTACCATGAGTTTCTTATCAATTTGGAAAACCTACTTTTATTGTGTGTCCTATTAATTGCTTTTTTAAGTACTATATGTTCAGGAGATACCCAAATATGTGAATTCACAAGAAAACCATATTTATCATATTTTATATGTGAACATAAACATTTCAATGGATGTCAATCTTGGAGGGCACATTAGCAGGGATGCATTGTAAATGGTTAGTCGCACTAATGTAACTGAAGACATTCTTGCCAACATCATGGTTTTCTTTGCTTATATATTCTATTGGTACTTCTTTTTTCTTTTTAATTATCTCACCACTCTACAACCCTCCTTATTACTATTTTTCCTTTTAATCCATAGGGCATTAGCTGTTTTCGTGGGTGTATATGAGCCCACCAAACAAAAACTGTTAAAAGTATTTCTAGAAAATCATAGTGCTTTTGCTTATCTAGTAAGTGAATTTAAGTATAAAATATTTTATGTTAACCTGATTAGTGATTCCTTGCTAAAAAGTCTCATATTTGTATTAGAGGATGATTTATTTAAATTTTATGCACCAGTAATCTTTACACTTTATTAAGCCATGCTTATATTGAATCAATGGTACATCCATAGTTTTAACGTGAAAGTATGAACTGTTTTTTAACTTTTCTGAAGCAATTTAGTATGCTTTCACTTTTTTTTAGCTATTGCTTTCTAAATGAGGTCTTAAGTTTGTGGTTCAGGATAAAATTTAAATGTGTAAACCAGATATCTAACAACCTTCTTAATATCACTTCAACTGAAGTGAAATTAACATGTGTAAACCAGATTATCTGACAACCTTCTTTATCTCAATTCAACTGATTCAACTGAAGTGAAATTAACATGTGTAAACCAGATTATCTGACAACCTTCTTTATCTCAATTCAACTGAAGTACTCTTGAATGGATATTTCTTTGTAAACCAGATTATCTGACAACCTTCTTTATCTCAATTCAACTGAAGTACTCTTGAATGGATATTTCTTTCTTACTTATATGTTCAAAAACTTAAGACTGCAGGTGCTGTTGGGAAAACCCCGGGGCTGCGCTAAACCCCTAAAACAACAAAACACGCAGTATAGAGAAAAATACACCAAAGTTTAACGAGGTTCGGCAAACTTACCAACGTCCTCGGGAGCCACACAATTAATTTCTTATTAATTAATAAGAAATTACAATGCAAGAGAAGATCTCAAACTTGAGATCCCTCAATAAATGTAATACTACAGTGTTTAATTCTCTCTCTCTTAAATCAAATCCACCTCTTCTTTAAATCCCCCTTACTTAATTCCTCCCTCAATAAATTCAACATGAGCTGGAAGAAAAAATAGAGAAGTAAGGGGGGGCGCCGCCAGGGGAAAAGCGTGAGAGAGAGAAGAAGCCACACACACCGGGGCTCGAGCTCTAAGTTTCCCTTTTATAGGGAAACCCTAGGTGGGATGTCGACAGCTTGTCCCGCACTCAAACGAGCACCCGAGCTCGCATGAAAATCCTCTAGCTCGCCTGCGTGAAAATCCTCTAGCTCGCCTGCGTGAGAATCCCCGTCAGGACTCGCCCTCATTGACCTCGAATGCAACACCCAAACCAACAGGTGCCATTGGAGGTGCTGCATCTTCACTTATTCGTAAGATGGGAGAAATAGTGTATTACTTTCATTCATGGGTTAAGCATAGAAGCTTCTAAATCTAAGGTACTTCATTCATGACAAATATACAGCCTAGCTCAATACCTGAATAAGTTGCTCAGAGACCAACTTTAACCTGTATAAGTTTGAGGTGAATATCTTACCGAGACAATGGTATATTTTCCCTTCCTTGTGAACTTTCATTAGAGCTCTTGTGAACTTTTATTAAAGCTCAATACCTGTTCTTTTGTGTATTTGCAGCGTTGGACTCGTGTAGATGGAAAGAGTTACTCAACTTACTTCACACTACTGCTTGTCAGAGGTATGTACATTCGCCTCACGATATTTTACATGTTCTTGATGTGCAACTTCATGTAATTTCATGAACTAACTTGCACCATTTTCGAGTACATGAAGATGCTTTTTCTCTTGTTTTTTAAGGATATCTTAGTTGGCTGATTGTGAGAAAATATGCTGCTAGAAGTTGCATTGGACAAATTTTTTTTTCCTGTTTTTTGCCTTGCTGGAAATGTTCAATACCATCTCTAGAAAAGTTCCAATTTAGTTCATATATAGTAATTTCAAATATGAGATTGACATTCTATTGCAATAGCAAGAAGGAAGTCTATTTTGCACATAACTTTGCAAGATATTATCAAATGATATCTTAATGCAAACTTACACTAAAAGTGCAATGGGATGCGAAGATATTTTGTCAGTTGTTTTAATTGGGTGTTCTATATTTTATGTAGCCATAATTTACTCTCATGTCAGTAACATTTTAGTTCTTAATGTTGACAAATGTACAGTAAAAGGGCTGTGATTCCTTAAAAAGGGTCTAGATCCTGTATCATAACTGAGTTTTTAAACTTTCTTGGTGTTAAATATCCATCACAATCTATCAGCCAAATGTTAATAATTATGTGGTAAGTATTGCAATGAGTAATAAACTTGATGTATTCCCGGTCCTTATAGATCACATTTGGGTTGTGCGGACCACATGACTCATCTAGAAGAGTTCTACAGGTCATGTAGTTGCATCCTTAATCCACATAGAATGAATTCTGTGGATCATGTAGTTGCATCCTTAATCAATTTAATCATGCAGCTGCATCCTTTATCCAAAACTTTGTCTAACATAATTGCATTTAGAAGTTTGTTTGTATTTATTCTAGGATGGATCAATTTCCGATCTTTTTAAAAGCTGGCCAGTTCGTGATCTTATAGACTATGATTGCATACAATAAATGAACATGCTGATTTTAATTTTTAAATTGACTTATGCTTATGCTTCTTAACATCTCAATTGTGTCTTGTCTTCATTCTATCCTTGGTATTGTTTCAATACGGTGGGAAATAAAAGTGGGTTTAAATCTTTACACTATATGTAAAAAATTAATATATATTTCACATCCTAGATCTAGAGGGAGAAATACACGTAGTATTAATAATTGTCATTTTCTCATGTGGTAAACCATACTCTTCTGTTTATGCATGATTACGTCCTTTCTCTTTAGTTTGTTATCCTTCATCTTTCAATAATCCAACAACATCTGGTATTTTTTTGTTTAGCATTTGTCTTTTTAGTTTTCTTATTCATTTTGCTTCCTATATTTTTTGCTTTATCTCTGTGAAAATAGCATCTTGTCCTTTGTAAGTTATAAATTTAGCCCTTTTCCCCAGTTTTATTTCACCATCTGCTTATGCGATCATGTTGAATGAAATTTACTTTTAGTGCTTTGTAATTTCTGGAATATCATAGCTTTTACTCAAATGCCATGCTAGGACTTAAAAATTGTAGCCAATTGCTAACGGATCAGAAGAGATGGAGGTTGTAATGATTATCGACATTCTACGGAGAGCCAAAGCTAATGTTGTTATGGCATTAGTTGAAGATGGATTAAAAATTGTAGCATCTAGAAAAGTGAAAATAATAGCAGATAAGCTTTTGGATGAGGCTGTTAAATTACAATATGACCTAGTTGTTTTGTCGGTCACTTAATATAGCCATTGAACATCAAATTCTTCACCATGTGTACATATGTAAGTAAGTTTATATTTGCTTCCTCTTACTTTGTTTGCAGGGAGGGCTTCCTGGTGCACAAGCATTCACAAACTCGGCAAAGCTTGTTGATTTGCTTAAAAAGCAGGCTGAATCAAATACGTTGTATTGGGTGCATATGTGCTTCTCCATCTCTAGCGCTTGAGCCACATGGTTTACTCAAAGTACAACTTCAAGGCTTGCCCTTGTGTGTGATTGATTCAATCATTTGTTGGTCTTCAAATAATATTCTCTATATTCTAATTTCCTTTTTCTGATTCTCTTTTTAAGGGGAAGAAGGCAACAACATATCCTTCTATGTGCAGCAAGCTTTCTGATCAAAGTGAATGTGAGAATAGGGTGGTGGTTGATGGAAACCTGATCACAAGCAGAAGCCAGGGACTTCCATGAAATTTGCTCTGGCCATAGTAGATAAGTTCTTTGACAATGCCCTCGATCTTGCAAGAAGCCTGGTTTTTGTATAATGAGCAAATAATAGCCATGTGGTGGAGAGCTGGGCATAAGGATGTAATCAGTAGTTTCTGAATAAACTAACTTACAATGACCCAATATATGTTGCAGTTTTTGTACGAGTATTGTGCGTTCACTCGGTTTGAGTCGTCTGTGATTTTACTTAAACCATTGATACAAATACACGATGAAGTAATGTGACAGTAAGACTATAAGAAAATGTCACATGCATACTATCTAAATGATGGGTTTCTAGCATTTCTGTTATTAGTTGGGAATTCTTTCCATTTCACGCGTCATAGCATGCACCTGTATCATATAATCTATGTGAAGAATGCATTTAATAACTAATTATAAAATTGGTGAGTGAAAATTTACTTGACCTTCAATATTTAAACTCTTGTAGTTTATTAATATGCATCACGTGCAACGCACGTGATATATACATAAGTAGGTAAATAAATATATAAGTAAATAAGTAGGTAAATAAATAAATAAATAAATAAGTGTTGAATAATTCTAATTTTATATCAATAATATTGCATGTTCTTTTTAATTATTTAACAAATTTATGCTAGTTGTACAGCTACTTTTGCCAAACAGCTCTACTTCAATCAGCTAGCTACACAGCTATCAGCTTTCGTTGTACAGCTACTTTTGCCAAACAGCTCTACTTCAATCAGCTAGCTACACAGCTATCAGCTTTCAGCTATAATTTCACAGCTTTCAGCTAGCTTAACAGCTTTCAGCTATAATCTCGTAGCTTTCAGCTCGTTTTTCCAAACAAAGCCCAAGAATATTAGATGTTTGCTGTTATGGACCAAACAAATGAAAAGAGTCAACATGGAACCTCACCCTTTCCCAAGAAAGTGAAGCTCAGAATGGCCTGACAATTACTAGAGGCTTAAAATTAAATAAATATATAATTGACTTTCAAGTATAAACAACGGGTCTCATGTGAATCAAGTCTTTATCTCTTAATTCTTTTCTTTTTTTATACATAGTGTCAATAAGACGTGGTTTATATATGGGAGAAGTGTTCCTAAGGTGACCCCTTAGATAATCATCTAAGGACGCAGTCTAAAATTACATGATTGAGCTATATTATGAATGATCCGCTCTGTTGAACTTGACCTACATAATCTAAAACTCCAATACACCAAGTTGGGGGTGAACCCGTCGTCGTTTGAACATTCATCCACTCGTATTAATTTTAACGGTTTCGAATGAATAGAACTTTTTACATGGCTTGATGGAGGGTCAAACGACGACGGGTTTGCCCCAAACTTGGTATGTTGGGTAGGTCGCGTCATTCCTTGCAACCAAAGCAAAAAAAATTAAATACTTAGGGATAAATTATCAAATAATAAATTTAAATTAATTTTACTTGACACATGGATTTAAATTTTATCTTATTTTCTAAATATTAAAATCTCAAGCACAAGGGGAAGCTTAAAAATTCTAATCAATACTAATTAATCAAAACCAACAAGGAGATTATATAGGATAATTTGATTTTATTTAAAATAAAACAAACATGAAACAATAACATCAACAACTTTCTAGAAAATATCTAATCTAAGTTAAAATTCTTTTTTGCATAATATCTAAACTTTTGCAATTCAAAAATAACTAATAACATCTCCTTCTAATTAAATTCATAATGATATAATGGCAGTAATATTAAACATTTTTTAAAATAAAAATCTTATCAGAACACTTGCATGCAAACAAGGTGTTCTGAGATTAATTTCAAAATTAACCCTTTTTTTACATGAACAAGGCAATCTACACAACAAAAATCAAGAAAAAAAAATCATAACAAAAACTTCTAAAACCCTTGAAAAAAATCAAGAAATTACCTTTCAAGAAAGAAAGCAAGAGGACCCAAGAACGCCGAGGCGAACAGATATCGATAAGCAACAAGAATCCTCATATCCATTCCATCATTGATAGCAAGCTTGCAGAAAATATTCACCCCTGCGAACCCTAACTGCACCAAAACCATGTTGTGCGCGGCGAAACAAATACAAACGCTGAGAGAGAAAGCCAAACAATCCAAAAAATAACGGCACCAACTCAAACACAAAAGTTTAACGTGGTTCAGCAAATTGCCTACGTCCACGGGGCAAGAAGTGATGGGTTTTCACTATAGAGAAAGAGAGTACAAAGTAGATATTAAAAGATCACTCAACTAACCTCTCAAACAAACCTCTCAAATCTCTCAAACTAAACCCTCAAACAAATTGCTCAGAAAGATCTCTCTTTTCTGTGCTCAAAAAACTAAACCCTCAAACAAATTGCTCAGAAAGATCTCTCTTTTCTGTGCTCAAAATCACCTTCAAGCTACCCAATCAATCGATGAAAAACCCTAAAAAACATGGTTGCTATTTATATCAAACAGCATAGTCAATCAGAATAGGAAACAAAACCCTAGCCCAGACCCAATCCGTGGTCGCCCGCCGAACCCATCGTGGTGGGTTCGACGGTCGACCATGGCAAACGACAGAACCAAAAATCAATTATAGGGTTTGGCCGGTTGACCGTCGTGCCACCCGCAGTCGACCGTGCAGCTTCCAAATTGTTCCGTCTCAAATTTTCTAAACCTCGTTGTTTCCTCTTTAATTCTCCACATCGGCGAAGTTTTCCCAAAACTAAGCCGACACTAACCAAACCAAATGTCCTACTTGTTGTGTCTAGTACGAAGTGAAACAATTCATGACAACATACTCAATCCACAACAAGTCGGGACCCCAAATGAGAATGCGAACAAACTCCAAAACGTCAATACCAATCCATCAAATCGGCTGCATCAAAAACTAACTACCTACGTATCCTTTTGCCCCAGGAATAAAGCCTCACGTAGTTCACCCAACGGCTTCCAAAGGCACTCAATCAACTAGAAGAGTTTGCAACCCTTCTCCAACATCATCATCAAATATATGATTGATAGCTCCTCCAATGGTCCCAAACTAAAACAATCCAAACATCTCCACCTGAGGTGAACCAATGGCCATATCCAAACTACATCTACCAGGTGCACTCGAATCAACCAACTCATCATCTGCATCGAAATCCAAATGATCCCCAAACTGTGTCACCTCAGCTGGAATCCCAAACGATACAGCATGATCTGGAGTATGTGAAGTAAACTTCACCCAATGAGAAGTAGCATCACTATACACCCACTGTGATACCTCTATGATCTGTCCAAAACTCTCCATCTGCTGAGAGTTAATAGGTTCTCTCATCAAAGCATCATCCAATGTGACATTACCAAACAAAATATCCAATTGAGTTTTACCTCCTATCATAGCAGTTGGCAACCCTTTAATAAGGTGACTTGAATATGTGAAGCCTCAGTCCAGAAACTCTTCTGTAAACTATTGATTAACCACAAACACCGATCATCCTCCAGCAAGGCACAGTTCTCCAAATTTTCCACCTCATCTAGTTGCCCCAATATTTCCTTTATAACGAAGTGTCTTGAAATGCCGTGAGCTCGGCTCAAATGCAGAAACAGGTCCCTCTTATACCTCTTACCAAAATCAGAATGAAGTACCTTCACCTTTCTATCTATCTCACACTTCTTTAATCTGTTGGAGACTACTAGGACTTTATCCAATCGGGATTTGGTTGTAACCCAAACACGCCTAGAACAGTCACCAACAAAGGAAACCAAACATCTATTACCTCCCATTGATACCTTCTTGGAAGGCCCCCAAACATCCACATGAAGTCCATCTAAAAGACCCTCAGTATGGTGAATAGAGGTGCCAAACTTCACATTGGTCTTCTCGCTCACATCAAAATATTCGGTGGATTTCAAATTGCAGGTCGATGCACCTTTCTCCAAATAAATACTCGAATGACCAAGCCTCAAATGTCACAGTCTAGTCGAATCAATAGAAGTCTTCAGCTCTCTACCTGTTACTGTATTTCCAATCAAATAGTACATGTTATTATTCCTGATGCCCTTCATCACAATCAAAGAGTCTTCCACAATCTCGAGAACCATGTCCTCAACACGAACCTTCGGACCCTCTCCAACCAAAGCTCCAATTGAGATCAAGTTCTTCCTTAAGAAATGAACATATCTCACACCATATAACTCCCTAACAGTCCCGCCATACATCTTGATATGAATTCTTCATATCCCAAGGATCTGACATACATGGTTGTCACTCATGTATACCACACCACTATCCAGCTTCTCAAAACTGGAGAATCATTCCCTTCTAGGACACACATAATAGGTCGCACCACTATCCAACATCCACTCGGATTCCTCCAAATAGCTACCTGTAGGACTGATAGAAAGCGAATAAATAGAAAAATCAGAAATATTATCATTCGATATAATGATGTTTGCTTCTGATGATGATTGCTTCTCTTTTCCCTTCTACTTATTCTTCATCCATTCATTGAGCTTTGGGCAATCTTTCTTCTAATGACCAGTCTCCTTGCACCAAGCACACTGATCTTTTATAACTGTAGGATGCCCTACTCTAGACTGTGATTTCTAATTCTTTCAGTTTGGATTCTTCCTTCTTGCGACCAATGCCTCCTCTATTGACTCAATCGAAGTCTCCTTATCCTTCTTTCAAAACTGATAATTCACAAGTGCAGCGGTGACCTCACTATACGAAAGAGATGCCTTTCCATTAATAAGAGTAAGGACGAAGGTCTCATATTCCTCATCAGGTAAGAAACTCAACAACAACAACGATTTATCCTCATCTTCAATCATAATATCTACATTCGCTAAATCCGTAAGAAGCTTCGTGTAGTGGTTCATGTGATCACTAATGGAGGTTCCTTTCTTCAATTAGAAGCGATAAAGCCTCCTCTTCAAATACAAGTAATTCTCCACACTCTTGGTCAAATATTTGCTTTCAAGGATCTCCCAAATCTTCTTAGTCGAAGTCTTATTGATCACATCATATTTCAAATCTTGAGTCAAACAATATCTAATCACACCACACGCCGTTCGATTCTTCTTCTTCCAAATCTTCTCTTTAATTTCATCTGGCTTGCCATCCAACTCCAAAGTATCCTCTAAATTTTGCGTATTTAGCGCATCCAAGACTTCGCATCGCTAAAGTTTAAAATTGTTAGTGCCATT